TGCTTTTGTTGAATATTCTGTGAAAAGTGCTTCGTTCAGGGAAGTGTTTGTATAATAGTTTGATGAGTTTGTTGTGGATTATAAGAGAAATATTTGTTTTTATGAGTGATAAAGCATTAACTATTTTTGAGATATCTTACTTATTTTTACCACTCATAGCAGAATGTAACTGAATGATAGATAGCGATTCTCCCTTGACTTTAGCAGTATTCAGAGGAAGCGTTGACGTGGCAGTTTTATCCAACAAAGTCGCAGTTGTCGGGCAAACGTTGTCTGAGTCGAACTTCCTCCTTACAAATGAAATACGGAGGACCTGCGTATGGTTCGAATCTGTAGACTCACCATTACCTAGCAGTACACGTCTGAATTGGTGGAACTAAAGAATGGAGATTATCTGAATAAAGTGAAACCTCGGTTCATGAATTTTATTCATTCCTGAAGGCCGCTTGTAACCAGAAATATTCGTAAAATATTTTCCCAATAGGAATCAATGTAGAAAAAAACTCACAGTAAAATAAAATTGGAAAAGAAAAACTCGTCACAACACACGAATGTATACAACATGGCAGTCGACTCAGAATTTATTCCGTTCGGGTTAACTCGGTTCGGCTCGGGTTAACTCGGTTCGGCTCGGGTTAACTCGGTTCGGCAATGTTGTCTTCGATAACCGAGGTATTTTCTACTTGAATTTTCTGTTCGAAAACCGATTTGTTCACCATGAGACCTTCCAGAAACGAGTTTGGATTGCATTTATCTTGGAAATAGCGATAGAATAGTGTTAAGCTTGCGACCTTTCATCTTTTGGAATGAGACTTTTGAGTTGGAAAAATATTAAATCCTAACAAGACCGCAATTCTATAAAAACAAAATAAACAAGCAATGGTTTTGGAAGAAATTCGACATCCTCAAATTTAGATTTCATGGTGCCAAACCTGTTCAGATATATCTAATCTCTCAGCTGTATGTAACCGCTTTCTCAGATCAATGGTAAAAAAAATATGGCTTTGAGCGAGTAAAGCCTCTGAATCTTGGCGAAGGCCATCTTTCTTCGAACATTGTAGAACAGAACCTTAAAGAACCGTGCCAGGTAACAAAAACTACAGCATCCAATGACTTCCAGCAGCAGCAACAACTAAAATGTCTATCACATGTCATTCAGAGAGAAAATAAGGACATGATCAAGATGTTGATATTCCACGTTACTTCAAATAAAAGGTTAGGAAGAAAATCCCCCCCGCCGTCAATACTGGAAAGAGCGATAACAGCTACCGGACTTGAGAGACCTATTTTCTTTAAAATTCTTATAAAAAGAGAAAACATTCTATTAATTTCAACCAACCGACGCACTCTCTACTGGATCAATACATGTTGAATGTTTCTTTATAAGGAAACGGTTAATATTACCATTATCATTATTACTTTGGTATTGCGATTATTTTTGAACCACCTTTCATTCACGAGCACTTAAAACACTGTATATAATGGAATCTTACACACCCTCCCACATGCAGATATCTTTTATACGGTCTTCACAGTTTGAGACCGCCAACGTTTAACGAGAAGCGACATGAGAAATTGAACAAAAGGGCGATATATTCTTAAATATTACCTTAAATTTAGAAATAAAATGACTACTATATCCATTATCAATCTTGACAGATTGATACAAACCAATATAATTTTTTTTATTGTAAATCTGTTAATTTTCCTCTCATTAGAATGTGTTATGCCATTGGTCCTTATTCGAAGACTGTCTCTATTTCCAGCCTACAAAAGAGGCCACCTCCTAAGTGGATATGTACAGAAGCAGGGTATGTATTGGATCAATATTTACCTTTATTGAGTCTAGCATAATGCGAATCTACGGGTACATTTATAGTCGAATTCAAACCCGACCCTTATGTGTACCTTTTTGAATTTAATTTAAACCGGACGTACGTCTGTCGCTGTGATTCCCGTTTAAAACAAATCCATGTCTGTGATTTCAATTTTAGTGTATACTGAGTCTATGTCAACACATGTTTGCACTAATTTAAACTGAACATATTCCTACCTTTTGACTATCCATAAACTTATATAGATCTATGTTTAAAATTTTACTTAAATCTAAGATCAGGCATATTTATTTTTTGAATCTTGGGTAAAGCAGACCTTTGTCTATTTTTTCATTCTAGTGTAAAGCGGACCTATATCCACTTTTTAAAATCTTGCGAAAACCCAACCTTTGTCTATCTTTTTGTTGTGGAGTGATTTCGCAGTGGAGGCTTGTATTTGTACTAGGTCGGTCCTAAAATAGGTTCGACGTACAAAACGTTAGGAACTTGATATAATAGGTAATGACGCAGTAATCTAGTTGTGGTCGCTGATACTTTAATATCCGACTAACGGTCGTCCGACATCGACTGACTCACCGACGTTATTCAGTCACCCCCCCACGAGGGCGTCATGTGGCATAAGGCCTTTCTAACGTGGGATCTCCGAGCCTGTGGACTCGGCCAAA